TTTTATAATAAGAGTTGAAGTTTTTATTTTCTGTTGAAACCTTGAAAATTCAATATATATTGTTAAATACAGACATGACAACTCAAGGGGGACTGCAAATGGTGGATGGGTATCCATGTCATATGTCAAGCTCTATATCTCTTAAGACCTGGCAAGTTCTGAATGATTAAAAACAGAAACAACTACATTTTGTAAATGTTTTCTTTTTATTTTATAATCTCTTTTTTTGAAATGAAACAACACACAACAAAACAGAAATCAGGCCGTTATTTTTCTAGTTTCTGTGTCATTTGGTCTCCTGTGGAGAGTTTTCTCATTGCCAATCATACCACATCTTCTTATTTTTATATTGTCGTGGGCATCATAATTATGCCAGTGGCCTGGAGTTGTTGCATTTCAGTGTTCATCATTAGTTTTAGATACATTATCTTTATTTAAATATTGCATATAAAACACCCAATTAGGATCGGGAAAAAATTTAGTTCACAGATATAACTGACAATGGATTCTAACAGAAATTCTCTCAAAATATTACTCTAGAATAGAATAGATTATATAAAACATGTACATTTGATATCCATAATCTTTATAAAACATCTTTTCGTGTAGATCTATTAAGAAAACCATCTGTTTCTTAATCATTGAATGCTGAATCAATATGAAGTATTTATGTGTACTCTAAGAAGATGTATGCCTTGAATCAATAATTATATCTTTCAAATTATGACAAAATAGAGGTAAACATGCAATCAGAGAAAGTGCTGAAACATATTTTCCCCTAAAAAGCTTGGGATTAATATTTTTTTCTAATAATTTACTGGTCCAAGTCCCCTCCCTTTATGTATGTTTTTTATTACATGCTTCTTTTTATTTTTTAAGCTTACTGTGTGTAGCATTAAATGTCTAAAAGCAATGTTTTTGTTTTTGGAAACTGAAAAAAAAATATCTTAAAGTGAAAATTGGCAATATCCATGATTTCTAGATCATAAGAAAAACATTGGAAATCTTTCGATTAAACATTGATTTAATAAAACATGAAACCAACGCGTTATAAATTGCATCCGTCCGAAGTGTTTAACTGAATTTACCTTCATCAGGAACGCTCAAAGCCGAATATTTGAATGCCAAGGATACATAGGAACCCAAACAGTTAAATAGCTATATAACCAAAAATGACATACAATTAATAGCCAAATCCATCTAAGGTCAACTTTGCCAAAATAAGAAACAAAACAGACATACATTCTGTTATACTTTCTTTTCACTGTTTAGGTCCTGAACTTAACAGGAACTCTATGCCAATGATAAATTGTAATTTCCAAGATGTTTTTTTTATATTTAAACATTTTACTACCGCATACAGAAAATGATGGGTTATTATGCCTCAGAAACACTCTTTCTCTTACTTAAATTGTATTTATTTTCAATAGTCACTTCTGCTGCACGTTTTTTTAAACTTTAGCCACCAAATTGGAAAGGAAGTCCTGCATTTTCAGTCTTTTGATACATACGTAGTGAAAGTCTGAAACCTGCCGTATTAAAAGATAAATTTATTACTGGTTAGTGTGGTTTTTTCCGCGCTATACCAACAAGAGGTATTTACTGGTCCTAACCTGGTTAGTGTGGTTGTGCAGCGCTAAACCAAACACTCCATACATATACAACCAATAGAAACCATCTTAGTGACTTCTTGTGGTGCCAGGTGGAAACCCAGTTGCTATAAATGTGGCATTTGTCTTAATTCAGTCTTATTCTACATGTACCAACCCTAAATTCCCTGTGGCTACAGCAAAACAAGATGGCTAGCGCAATGGAGATGGGAACATGTAAAAAGGCTCTATAACAGACAATTGACTGCCGGTAAATCATACAACCAACAGTAATATAAATTATGCTACAAACAGAGACAAGGCTCTGGAAACAACAACATTCAAGTGCAACTACCAACATTTAACATTCGAGATGAAAGCAAGCAATATTTTTGTGGCAGAATTCAGTACAGCAGCATACAAACTGGCACAGTCCAGAAGTTTAACACTACTACAATCTACTGACATTTCTACTAACTATACTGTCGTACTTTTACGTATAATTGTTTAATTTTTACACATTGTGACTTGGATGGAGAGTTGTCTCATTGGCACTTATACCACATCTTCTTATTTCTATGTACTTGAACAACATTGCATTGAACTCACAAATCTCAAGATCGATTCTAGCTACAAGGTATATAACAGAAATTCAAAATATCAACTAGAAATATGCGCAAATTTACCATCAATTGTTTCTATACAAATAAAATGACAGTTAATTGCAATAGAATTGATATCTTCATTAATGATATCTTTGATAGTCTATGTTCAGAAATTAAGAGCAAATTTAAAGAACTAGATATATGTAACAACACTATCAAGACTCAACTAAAAAACCTAAAGGATACCACATCAACTATTATACATCAGGATGGAAAAAATGGTCACTACAATCGAGAAGAGTGAAGAGCAACCTGGAGAGCCACGGAAAAACTACCTCCAGACCAGCAATCATTGATACCTTCAATACTCAGCAACAGGAAGAGGATAAAAACAAACAAATCATCTGTCCTAAATGAAGGTATTGCCTGTGATTCTTGGAACAATTGGTACCACCACATCTGCTCAAACATCAAGGAAGACGACCTGAAACAATATGAGAGATCTAATTTGAATTTAAAATGATGATTTACTATATATTGAACAAAGCAATAACCAAGTTGAATCTACTGATTGTCCTGATGAAAGAGGTACATCCCCTAATCAAGGAACCTCGGACTCAAACACCCGAAAAACTGGATGACAAATTCGGCTAATTTGGCACCGTAGAGCACACGTCTACCCAAATCACTCAAGCAACAGCAAACTTTTCATCCAAACATTCAACCTACAACAAGTTTGAATCATTCTACAGTAGCAATCCATACCAGGAAATATCCAGGATACGACAATGATTCATTATACCAACCACAAACAAGTCAACGCACCAAACAACATAAAGGCATTTCATCAAATCAAAATAGAAATATATCGCATGATATACAAAACATCACCAGCATGAGCCCTCTTACTCTCTCCTCCAGAAAAATGTACAACCATGTAGAACAAATGCAAGCACGGTACAACCAGACAAAGACAGACACTCTGGCCTCATTATGACTGCTCCCACTTCAGAGAAACTGGTTCAACACACAGCAATTGTTCACAATACACAGGTTGCTCAAGAAAATAACAACACGAGAACAGAAGCACTTGACCAATGCCAACAACTTGGACACGTTTCAATCCTACTCAAAGATGATAATCCAACAATAGAAGAACAGAACCAACCTTTTTCAAGAGATGTGCCTCATAGAACAACCACCAGATCAACTACTTCAGGAGGAATCACTCCTAAAATCGCGAACATCAGAATAACAACCTGCAATATAGAGGGAGTGAGATCAAATAAATATTTCATTCAACTCCTAAGTCAGGAATCGCACATTATATGCCTACAAGAACATTTTCTCTGGGAATGCTAAGCAAGTATCTTATATTCAATACTACCTGACCATGATAATCATACTAGATGTCATGATTCAATTGAACCTCTGACTTGTATTAAATTTCCTAGAAGCCGTTCAGGGGTCTCCATCTTATGGCGAGAAACAGCCAAATTCAGAAACTACCTGATAGAAATGAAAGGGTGATAGCCATTTTAATCTCATCTCACGTGGATGCTTGTCTAATTAATGTCTATATGCCAATTATGGATAAAGACTCTTACTTCCTTCTGTTCCTTCAGACACTTGTCAAAAATAAGAAAATCAAAGAAGCCAGATCATTTAATTTCACATTCAGATATATTGATGATGTTCTTTCCATTAACAATCCAAACTTTTCTGATTGGGTTTCATTAATAAATCCTCTAGAACTAGAAATTAAAGAAACACAAGTCACAGTTTCCTCCGCCTCAGTTTTAGACTTATACCTCGAATTTGACATAAGTTGTCATCTCAAAACCATAATCTATGACAAGCGAGACGATTTTGATTTTGAATTATAAACGCAATCATAAGTTTGAACGTTGTTTTCAATTTAGACTCGTTTATATTTTTTCGTTTGGGCTTGTATTATATTTGCCTTCGGGTTTATGTGATCCGTTCATCCTATTTCGACCCTTCAAAATTCAAGAGTCTATCCTAATTTGAGGTAAATTATACGGCCTTCCAAATAACGTTTCGATTCCTAACATCACTGAAGAGACATTAATTGTCGAAATCCGGATATAGTGTACCAATTTTTGGTCCTCATGTTTGCGGTATACCATCTTTTCCGCAAGTTTATTGTTTTCTGTTTGATAATAAATTATTATAAGATCCATTTTGTTACATCTTGTGATCCGTTTATTTGGCAATCGCCAATGGCAGTCAGCAGGGTTTAAGAACATCAGTTGTTCGACCTGCTAGTCAAATGCGTTTTGTCAAGGATTTGTATAGTGAGAAGGATTGGAATCTCGTGGACTATTTGCATTGCCTGTATTGAAATAAGCTGCGTATGATGAGATTTTGCGAGATGCATCTCGTTAGTCGTTTTTCGTCCACCATTACAAGTTGAATTTATGTCATTTCCAGATAAACTCGGCGTATTGTAAGTATACTATAACAAAATTACATGATGTGATACTTTTAAGTGTAAGTTTATGACAGTTCTGATTCAAAAAACAGTTTATATCTTTACAAAACACATTGTCTGCATCTAAATATACTATGCATTTTATCTGTTGGTCATCGTAATTGCCTGAACAGTTTATATAACAGTTTAAGTCTGAAAAGCTGAATGTGACAGAATAATTTATTGTTTCAATTGCTGTTAAGATTAAAGTTACCGTTCAAGACTTAATTTCATTTAATAGTGATTATATCTTAATTTGATGTTTTTTTGGTAAACAACTATTTAAAAAAGTATGACTTTGATATATTGTAGGGGCCCTTAAGATGCAGTTCACAAACAACAGAACAATTAAAAAGTACTTTGGAATATGTATATTTACAACAACTTTAACTTTAATCCGTCTGATTTACGTATATTTCGATGATGCCAGTCTTAAAACTTTAAACTTCACCGCAAAGTTAGCTGAAGGAAAATATAATAAAATTCTGAGACAATATGATAAGTCAGAGTTCATAAAACTATCTACGACAGAGGGGGAAATAACACATTCAATTGAGAATATAAACACAGGTAAAGGAGATACAAATATTAACCAAGTTTATTCAATGATGTGGCACACAAAACCATTCTGGGCTCCAAAAGATATCCTTTCATATGAATTTAGAAATTGTGCGTTTAGGAATTGCATAGTCCGTGAATCATCAGATGACACTACGCATGGCACATGTGATGCAATATTATTTCATCACACAGAGATGAATATAAAGGTTCCAAATAAAACATCCGGTCAAATATGGGTATTCACGTCATATGAATCTGAAATACATACAGCAAAGCACTTTTTGAAAAAAGGATGGGACAATAAATTTGATTGGGTATATAGCTACAGATCGGATGCTGATATATCTTATCCGTATGGGTTACCGGACAGGAGACACATACAAAGTGAAAAAAATTATACGAGTCTTTTCCGAGAAAAGTCAAAGAATGTTGCCTGGGTAGTAAGCAACTGTAAATCCGTTTCAAAGAGGTACCAGTATATTAAGGAAATGATGCAAACCATACAAATAGATATATATGGGAACTGCGGTAAAAAATGTTCCTCTTCTTGGAATAGTGACAAATGCTTTAAGGATTTAAGTAAAGATTACAAGTTTTACTTGGCGTTTGAAAATTCAATATGTAATGACTACGTTACTGAAAAGATATTCCGACTATATCAGGACGGTTTTGACATTATTCCCGTTTACCGAGGAGCCCGAAATATAAAGGACATTTTACCACACGACACCTTTATATCTTCATTAGATTTTAGTTCGCCTACACAACTTGCTTTGTACATGACAAATGTAGGAAGTAATGAAAGTACATACACTAATTATTTGAAAGCAAAAGATAAGATTTTTTTCAAAGGACATACACGAAAGGAGGGTTTGCAGTCTATGTATTGTTCTGTCTGTGAAAAACTCAATAATAAGTATAAACGAAGTCCTAAATTAAACTTAACAAAATGGATGTTCGAAAAAAATTGTTATATCCCAACAGACGTGTGACGATATGGATGTTTTTATTAATTGAATGAGAAAAAGTTGTTCTTAGAAACAAGTGTTACCTCATTAGCTGTGTATTGTGCAATTATTAAAAGTTTCAAGTACGAGTTGCAGCGCACTTAAGTACAACCTCTTCCTAACCAAATTGTGACAAACAAATAGTAAAGTGATGTAATACAAAAATGTATGCCCATATATTTTTTTCATTTCTATATATACAGGTGGAATAAGTTAAGGTTAATTCAACTTTAACGTCTTCAGTACATAGTATATAGTAGTATGTCTTTTGCAGGAAATACCAAGTCAGGAATATGATAGTTGTTTTCCATTCGTTTGATGTGTTTAAGCTTTTGATTTTGCCATTTGATAAGGGACTTTCCGTTTTGATTTTTTGTGGAGTTCGGTATTTATGTTATTTTACTTTTTCAAGCATCTTCCCTTTCACATGATAAAGAGATTGCTGCAGTTACGTTTATAGAGTCAAATAAAAAAAATATATAATAACTACTCTAGCAAAGACACGTTTATCTTTTGTCTATTTATTGTAGTTCTTAAAAATGCATTTACAACACATTCCACTAGATTTCTTTTTACATGCACAATAAGATGACCGTTGGAAAATTGAATGTTGTTAATCAACCGAAGGAAAAAATAACTTGTGTTAATCACGTTCATATTTTGTCTTCCATTTCTAAATGTTCTTCAAGTTGAATAGGCTTTAGGACACTTGATGATTATAATAAACGGTTTGAGAAATTTGTAATGAAACGGATTCGGTTTCATATATGGGATATTTTTTTCCTGTCATTAAATTCATCCATCGTTATTGAACATTAGAGGTCGTAATCTCTGAATTGATTGAATTACATATCTAGCGAAGTAGAATATAGATTTTAATATTTACACAGAAAAATAAACGTTGAACAATACACACACTACAAAAAACAAAGGTTAACAAGGGTGAACCCCGATGAAGAGCAGTTCCTGTTTCAAAAGTGACAACCGTCGTGTTATTTACTGGAAGTAAAAAATGGTGATAAGTCACAGTCGGTCAAGCAAAACACTGGTAACAAGATTTCAGTTTCAAACGGTCATTTTGGTCTGATCAAGTCTCAATCGATTGAATTTAACGCAAGAACAAAACGTCAAGACTTTTTCAAACTTTCAAATGCCGTTCTGATCGATAGTCACGTACAGCAGGTAATTTAGTCCGTTCAGGCATGTCAAAATGAATAAAGCGGAATGTTCTAGCGAGCGTTTTAGATCTGTTAAGGCGGTTTCAGATGAAATCAGACCATGTATACAAATTTACGTTCATATATTGTCAGATCGAGTTCAGTCGTGTTCAGATTTTAATAATTTGGATACAAAATGGGTGAAAATTTTCCGGTGTGTATCAAGGGTTGCTCCCCTTTAAAAATAAAATCGAAAAACAGAAAGATGACGTTCCTTTATCTCTCCATTTTAATCTATTTTTTAATATTCTTTAATCCTTAATTCTTGTTATCTACGTAATCATTAAACAATTTAGGGTGTTTTTAAATAAATAATAAAATTAGATTGTTTTTCTTGTTTTTGGTCATTATGATATGGCTTGACAAAAGTGAATTCGCTCTGTCACAAATAGTTAAAAACCCCTAAATATGGTTGAATAATATCAAATAATGATAAGATCAATATTTGAAAAATGTTTTATACGTGAATGTCATCGTGTGTTTGTTCGTGTGTTTTGATATACGGGCGTTTAAAAATGTAGCTAACTCGACGTAAATACTATTTTTAATCTTTCGCCTTGTTTGCTTGATCGTGCTAGCTGGTTAAATTATCCAGCCGGACAACAAATCCCTGATTTGTCCGTTAATAACCCCGGATTTATTATCCGAGATTCAAATGGAGATACTTTCTAAGAAAGCCATCAACAGATGTCACGGCGCAGAAAAAAATATTTGCGTGGAAAAACGACCTAGTAGGAATCATATTTTATGAAACCAAACATATCATGACCGGTAAACATGATATCATGAGTTTTTAATTATTTGAAAAACATAAGAAGTCAAAGTAATGTGTCGTTGAAAAAGAAATTGAAGCCATTTTTTTTAGTTGTCGGAACCGCCATTTTTCAACTTCGACTGTCATTGACAAATTTTCAGCTCTGAACGAATTGACACAGACCTGGTTAACCTAGAAAAAAAATGTGACTGGTTTATTTTGATAAACTGGAACATGGAGAACAGAACAGGGATGGTCACATTACGTTACCATTCGTTGTTTACACACGAGCACAAGTTCTATTCACATTTGCACAATTTGGTAAGGCCGCTCAATTATTTCCTATATTTGTTTCTTTAAATTTCTCTGCTCTTGACCAAAACAGCTCAGAAATATGACAAAACCGTCGCAGAGGAAAAGACAGTCAACATGTCATTGAAATGAATAAAATCTGTTATTTTTTTGGGGATTTATTTTCCCTTTGCATGCCTCAATGATGTTTTTCAGTACACAATTACAAAATGTGAATATTAGTTGTCTATTTTCTTAAAAATCACACAGATATATTGAATTCAGCACATTATCCATATAAGAATATGTATATAGAGCTCCCAATCATCAGGCGGAAACCCAGTTGAAATTAAACAAAAGAAAAAGAACTCTTTATTAGAGAAGGTAAAAAATGCCAAATTGGTAAATTTGAAAATGCATAACTTCAAAAACATTCATTTTGTGTGTGTGTTATCAAGGGTAATTAGTCCTCATTCTCAATTTTTAGGATCGTAATGATGCTATGAGGATAAATTGATTTTTTTTTAGAGCTACATTGACAGCGTGTTATCATTACAATGGCTTCCATTTTTATGATTATAATAATTAAGTGGCGTAATGGGGAGATCATTTTGACGAAGTAGAATCCTGACTGATCATATCCTTTAATAACTGCCTTATTAATTAGATATAAGAAGATGTGGTATGAGTGCCAATGAGACAACTCTCCATCCAAATCAAAATTTATAAAAGTAAACCATTATAGGTCTCAGTACGGTCTTCAACACGGAGTTTTGGCTCACACCGAACAGTAAGCTTTAAAGGGCCCCAAAAAATACTAGTGTAAAACCATTCAAACGGGAAAACCAACGGTCTAATCTATATAAAAAACGAGAAACGAGAAACACTTATGAACCACATCAACAAACGACAACTACTGAACATCAGATTCCTGACTTAGGACAGGTGCAAACAAATGCAGCGGGTTTAAACGTTTTAATGGTACCAAACCTTCACCCTTTTTTCGAAACAATAGTGTCACATCACAACATAGAAAGACACACTATAAAATATCAACTGAAATAGCTTAGCTCAATCAAAGGACATATTAACACCATTGAACATACACTGAACAAATAAATTAGACCTATTTTTATAAATTAAACCTATTTTTTTGCGAAGTCCAGTTGTAAATTATTGTGATCTGTTAGCATGTCAGGATTTGTCCTTGATGACATGACCGCAGTGTAAACATAATAAAATCTGATATATCATAGATAAAAGACAGAGGAAAACTAATTTGAACACAGTCAGATCTTTATGTTATGGTTTACATATGTAATTGCAAAAGAACGAAGATGATATCACATTAAAATATAAATGTTTTTGCTTATTCCCTGTTCATCTCCAATCAATCCTTCATTAGTTGTTCTATCTACATGCAGTTTACATAAATAAATCCATATTTATTATGATTAAGTCCATTATAGGTTTACAATTATTTAGCTGCATGCACCTGCATTTGATGAGAAATTACATATCAGGTCAACATGGTAATTTTTTTTAATTGATAATTCTTCATTATTCCACATATTTATGTATATGTTACCAGAAATGGTTTTATATATGGTACAATTTAGACTTACATATTTTTTTTATATCATTATGTATTTATTTTTCACACCACATGGGCTTGTTTTATGTTTTGATTTAATAATTTGATTACATTTATATCCACTGAAAGATACAACATTTCATATTATTCATGAAATGCAATTTTCAGGTTTTTTACAGTATATTGTCAATTTACTTAATCATGTTTATATCTTGATTAGAAATATTCAGTTATTTGATATTCGTGATTTGGAATTGTGTTTTTCAGTTGAAAAATACTTAGTAGCTGTCACACCCAGAATACATCCTGATACTCTTGGCATTGGCAATACCTGTTATTGCATTTGTACATATGTTCTATGAAGTAATTTGACATTTCTGTTGAAGCCTGAAAATGCAACTTTTTCATCATTCTATTAAGCTTTCAGCAATTGAGGGACTGGTGGTTTTATTTTATAATAAGAGTTGAAGTTTTTATTTTCTGTTGAAACCTTGAAAATTCAATATATATTGTTAAATACAGACATGACAACTCAAGGGGGACTGCAAATGGTGGATGGGTATCCATGTCATATGTCAAGCTCTATATCTCTTAAGACCTGGCAAGTTCTGAATGATTAAAAACAGAAACAACTACATTTTGTAAATGTTTTCTTTTTATTTTATAATCTCTTTTTTTGAAATGAAACAACACACAACAAAACAGAAATCAGGCCGTTATTTTTCTAGTTTCTGTGTCATTTGGTCTCCTGTGGAGAATTTTCTCATTGCCAATCATACCACATCTTCTTATTTTTATATTGTCGTGGGCATCATAATTATGCCAGTGGCCTGGAGTTGTTGCATTTCAGTGTTCATCATTAGTTTTAGATACATTATCTTTATTTAAATATTGCATATAAAACACCCAATTAGGATCGGGAAAAAATTTAGTTCACAGATATAACTGACAATGGATTCTAACAGAAATTCTCTCAAAATATTACTCTAGAATAGAATAGATTATATAAAACATGTACATTTGATATCCATAATCTTTATAAAACATCTTTTCGTGTAGATCTATTAAGAAAACCATCTGTTTCTTAATCATTGAATGCTGAATCAATATGAAGTATTTATGTGTACTCTAAGAAGATGTATGCCTTGAATCAATAATTATATCTTTCAAATTATGACAAAATAGAGGTAAACATGCAATCAGAGAAAGTGCTGAAACATATTTTCCCCTAAAAAGCTTGGGATTAATATTTTTTTCTAATAATTTACTGGTCCAAGTCCCCTCCCTTTATGTATGTTTTTTACTACATGCTTCTTTTTATTTTTTAAGCTTACTGTGTGTAGCATTAAATGTCTAAAAGCAATGATTTTTTTTTTGGAAACTGAAAAAAAAATATCTTAAAGTGAAAATTGGCAATATCCATGATTTCTAGATCATAAGAAAAACATTGGAAATCTTTCGATTAAACATTGATTTAATAAAACATGAAACCAACGCGTTATAAATTGCATCCGTCCGAAGTGTTTAACTGAATTTACCTTCATCAGGAACGCTCAAAGCCGAATATTTGAATGCCAAGGATACATAGGAACCCAAACAGTTAAATAGCTATATAACCAAAAATGACATACAATTAATAGCCAAATCCATCTAAGGTCAACTTTGCCAAAATAAGAAACAAAACAGACATACATTCTGTTATACTTTCTTTTCACTGTTTAGGTCCTGAACTTAACAGGTGCTCTATGCCAATGATAAATTGTAATTTCCAAGATGTTTTTTTTTTATATTTAAACATTTTACTACCGCATACAGAAAATGATGGGTTATTATGCCTCAGAAACACTCTTTCTCTTACTTAAATTGAGCGAATTACTAATTTTCACTCGTTTCTGATCAGCCGTCCCTTGAACGAGTTACCATTTGAGTTATCTCCCTTTGGTCGATCGCCAATTTTGGACCTGTTGATTTGACACACGGCCGGTTAACCTGGCGAGTTTTGATAACGATAGGCATTTCGTGTTCATAATGTCAAGAGGTATCATCCCTCTTAAGGAAAATACGTTACCATTCCGTATGTCATTTCAATTACGTTTATTTATTTTCAATAGTCACTTCTGCTGCACGTTCTTTCTTAAACTTTAGCCACCAAATTGGAAAGGAAGTCCTGCATTTTCAGTCTTTTGATACATACGTAGTGAAAGTCTGAAACCTGCCGTATTAAAAGATAAATTTATTACTGGTTAGTGTGGTTTTTTCCGCGCTATACCAACAAGAGGTATTTACTGGTCCTAACCTGGTTAGTGTGGTTGTGCAGCGCTAAACCAAACACTCCATACATATACAACCAATAGAAACCATCTTAGTGACTTCTTGTGGTGCCAGGTGGGAACCCAGTTGCTATAAATGTGTCATTTGTCTTAATTCAGTTTTATTCTACATGTACCAACCCTAAATTCCCTGTGGCTACAGCAAAACAAGATGGCTAGCGCAATGGAGATGGGAACATGTAAAAAGGCTCTATAACAGACAATTGACTGCCGGTAAATCATACAACCAACAGTAATATAAATTATGCTACAAACAGAGACAAGGCTCTGGAAACAACAACATTCAAGTGCAACTACCAACATTTAACATTCGAGATGAAAGCAAGCAATATTTTTGTGGCAGAATTCAGTACAGCAGCATACAAACTGGCACAGTCCAGAAGTTTAACACTACTACAATCTACTGACATTTCTACTAACTATACTGTCGTACTTTTACGTATAATTGTTTAATTTTTACACATTGTGACTTGGATGGAGAGTTGTCTCATTGGCACTTATACCACATCTTCTTATTTCTATGTACTTGAACAACATTGCATTGAACTCACAAATCTCAAGATCGATTCTTGCTACAAGGTATATAACAGAAATTCAAAATATCAACTAGAAATATGCGCAAATTTACCATCAATTGTTTCTATACAAATAAAATGACAGTTAATTGCAATAGAATTGATATCTTCATTAATGATATCTTTGATAGTCTATGTTCAGAAATTAAGAGCAAATTTAAAGAACTAGATATATGTAACAACACTATCAAGACTCAACTAAAAAACCTAAAGGATACCACATCAACTATTATACATCAGGATGGAAAAACCTATCCGCAAAAATGGTCACTACAATCGAGAAGAGTGAAGAGCAACCTGGAGAGCCACGGAGAAACTATCTCCAGACCAGCAATCATTGATACCTTCAATACTCAGCAATAGGAAGAGGATAAAAACAAACAAATCATCTGTCCTAAATGAAGGTATTGCCTGTGATTCTTGGAACAATTGGTACCACCACATCTGCTCAAACATCAAGGAAGACGACCTGAAACTATATGAGAGATCTAATTTGAATTTAAAATGATGATTTACTATATATTGAACAAAGCAATAACCAAGTTGAATCTACTGATTGTCCTGATGAAAGAGGTACATCCCCTAATCAAGGAACCTCGGACTCAAACACCCGAAAAACTGGATGACAAATTCGGCTAATTTGGCCCCGTAGAGCACACGTCTACCCAAATCACTCAAGCAACAGCAAACTTTTCATCCAAACATTCAACCTACAACAAGTTTGAATCATTCTACAGTAGCAATCCATACCAGGAAATATCCAGGATACGACAATGATTCATTATACCAACCACAAACAAGTCAACGCACCAAACAACATAGAGGCATTTCATCAAATCAAAATAGAAATATATCGCATGATATACAAAACATCACCAGCATGAGCCCTCTTACTCTCTCCTCCAGAAAAATGTACAACCATGTAGAACAAATGCAAGCACGGTACAACCAGACAAAGACAGACACTCTGGCCTCATTATGACTGCTCCCACTTCAGAGAAACTGGTTCAACACACAGCAATTGTTCACAATACACAGGTTGCTCAAGAAAATAACAACACGAGAACAGAAGCACTTGACCAATGCCAACAACTTGGACACGTTTCAATCCTACTCAAAGATGATAATCCAACAATAGAAGAACAGAACCAACCTTTTTCAAGAGATGTGCCTCATAGAACAACCACCAGATCAACTACTTCAGGTGGAATCACTCCTAAAATCGCGAACATCAGAATAACAACCTGCAATATAGAGGGAGTGAGATCAAATAAATATTTCATTCAACTCCTAAGTCAAGAATCGCACATTATATGCCTACAAGAACATTTTCTCTGGGAATGCTAAATAAGTATCTTATATTCAATACTACCTGACCATGATAATCATACTAGATGTCATGATTCAAATGAACCTCTGACTTGTATTAAATTTCCTAGAAGCCGTTCAGGGGTCTCCATCTTATGGCGAGAAACAGCCAAATTCAGAAACTACCTGATAGAAATGAAAGGGTGATAGCCATTTTAATCTCATCTCACGTGGATGCTTGTCTAATTAATGTCTATATGCCAATTATGGATAAAGACTCTTACTTCCTTCTGTTCCTTCAGACACTTGTCAAAAATAGGAAAATCAAAGAAGCCAGATCATTTAATTTCACATTCAGATATATTGATGATGTTCTTTCCATTAACAATCCAAACTTTTCTGATTGGGTTTCATTAATAAATCCTCTAGAACTAGAAATTAAAGAAACACAAGTCACAGTTTCCTCCGCCTCAGTTTTAGACTTATACCTCGAATTTGACATAAGTTGTCATCTCAAAACCATAATCTATGACAAGCGAGACGATTTTGATTTTGAATTATAAACGCAATCATAAGTTTGAACGTTGTTTTCAATTTAGACTCGTTTATATTTCTTCGTTTGGGCTTGTATTATATTTGCCTTCGGGTTTATGTGATCCGTTCATCCTATTTCGACCCTTCAAAATTCAAGAGTCTATCCTAATTTGAGGTAAATTATACGGCCTTCCAAATAACGTTTCGATTCCTAACATCACTGAAGAGACATTAATTGTCGAAATCCGGATATAGTGTACCAATTTTTGGTCCTCATGTTTGCGGTATACCATCTTTTCCGCAAGTTTATTGTTTTCTGTTTGGTAATAAATTATTATAAGATCCATTTTGTTACATCTTGTGATCCGTTTATTTGGCAATCGCCAATGGCAGTCAGCAGGGTTTAAGAACATCAGTTGTTCGACCTGCTAGTCAAATGCGTTTTGTCAAGGATTTGTATAGTGAGAAGGATTGGAATCTCGTGGACTATTTGCATTGCCTGTATTGAAATAAGCTGCGTATGATGAGATTTTGCGAGATGCATCTCGTTAGTCGTTTTTCGTCCACCATTACAAGTTGAATTTATGTCATTTCCAGATAAACTCGGCGTATTGTAAGTATACTATAACAAAATTACATGATGTGATACTTTTAAGTGTAAGTTTATGACAGTTCTGATTCAAAAAACAGTTTATATCTTTACAAAACACATTGTCTGCATCTAAATATACTATGCATTTTATATGTTGGTCATCGTAATAATCCCGCCCAAATAGGCGGTCCAAACCACAATTAAATCTCAATCTCCTCCTTCATAATAAGGAATTGTGTTCAGAAACTTGAATTATATGAAATAAATGTGTGATGCGTGCATATTATAAACTATATAGTGTAAGGAGCTTTCGTTGTTGTTGTTTTAATGGTTATTTCAGACCAACCGTCAAAAATCGTCCCGCGTCAGTGTAGAAAAGGGTATACTGATAAAATATCAATAAAGTGCCACAATCTGTCGATTTCAACACTAAAACGTAATTAAATCAATTTATCATAGTTTATTTGTTGTACTTTCTAAAACATTTGGCTTGCAAAATGATAACGTGTGATATTTTCATATTTTCAAAATACCGCTACGGTTACTAGATGCATCCAAAAGTCGTTATTATGGGCGGGACCAAATTAACATAAATAAACTTCCTGTAGTCCCTCGAACGTGATGAAAAATGTTTACAGTAGAATACATAGTTTGCATCTGTTGTTTCATGGACATTTACACCAAAAGGTATTGCTTTTTCCTTTAGATATGATGTGAAAATGTACTGGGAAATTCCTTTATGCCTTCAAGGGTTTACAGAACCCTGCTTATGTTCACCACATCGACTGAGTATATCATACAGTCATACTGCACATAGGCTACTGTCATAGGTGATAGCATATTTTGGCAGTAGTATAAAGTGAAAATATAGGGACACTATTAATTTACAAGTTAAAGGCGTGTTCTTACTATCATATATTAAGACTGTCTATCTCTCCAATTTTTTGGTATACCTCAGGCCTGTACCAAAGATAACAGGAGATAGTTACATTTGTATATGTGTATATATGTGCTTAAAATTGTGGGGGATAAGGGTACGATTTCAGTGCGACTCATTCAGTTAATGAAATAAAAAATATATATTGCCGTCTTCAGGATAAATCACAAGCGCTCGTCCCAGACCAGTATAATTTTTCTGAGGCTTAACTGCCCAAATGAATAAAAAGAAAATTTATGAAAGACTATTTTTCAGGCTTTGTTGTCAAAAAGTGTTCCATAATACACAAAATCTCTTAACACTCATAAACAAAAACCAAAAAGAAAAGAACGGTCCATTCACATGTACATGTATGGAGAATTTGAAAGTAAAATTAGGCACTTCATCAAGGAGCAGTTATAAACTATCAGCTCACTACTAAAAACTCTTCATACATGTATTGTCAGGACTCTTGGGTGTCTGGGTTCATCATTTGAAATATAAAGAAATACCAAAATAGTCAAAAATTTTATGTTGTCATGGTCAAACATTTGATATTCTTGGGATAGCTACATGTCTACTAAAGTACATAATTAATCCTTGTTACCCCAATACAATCAACCGGTTATGTACTTGTATAGGATGCATAATGTGCCAATGCGGACTTTAAAATTCTGAACTTTTTCTGACCAGACTCCATATTCTACATAAATTCATGTCTTTTTTTTTAATTATTTTTGTGATGTATTATGAACTGTGTTACTTTGTTAATGTTCATATATATATATATATATATATGTATACCATAAAACCCAAGATAACTGGATTAATTTCAATAAAATACATATCCCAGCATTATTATAGTGAACATGTAAATTACATCTGTTTACATGGTTTAAACAGTAACAGATTATACATAACCCAGCAGTGACGAGTGCCCAATTATTCGTTTTTAAATTACTGCAAAATTCTATAAATTTTATTTGATAAAAAATAATTATTTAGCTTTTATATATGGACAGCTAGGAGAGTAGCTGACTCTTGATACATAAGTAATAAAATTTCAGTTACTGTGTATAATTGTTTTACATCATATTTGCATTAAGTTTTTTACTTTCAGCTGTAAAAGATATTTTGTGTTCTAATAGTACTTCTCTCGGAAGACAATAGTTGGTTATGGCTGTGGATAATAATCAGGTAACTACATTATTAAATATATAAAATAATACTGATACCAGAATTACTTTAAAATCATTATATTCAGAATTTGTGCAAGAACCATACCAGTGTGCCACATCTCTTAATATTTTTTACAGAAAATTTTGCAGGTGTATTTTGTTTTACATGTAATGTTTTATTTTTTTTGCTTTGAAATTAAATGGATTAATATTATAGTTTTACAATATGGAAAATGTCAGGGAAACCCTAATTATATTTTATGTATTTTAGTCTTACAAAAAACAAATGTTTGTTATTTTCAGGATACCAAAGTTAAAGAAAGGAGATATGTTTCTTTGTGGTGAAAGTGCAAGAAATAACACCATATTTTGACTTACAAAATGATCACTCATACTGCATGCAATACAGGGAAAGGCATCAAACCAAGCCTCCAGAAGACATACATTTGTAGAATGTATTTTCTATGATGTACACGTCGCAGAGGATACTTTATGTTCCAAAAATTCAAATACAAATTGTGTCAGCTCCTGTGACAAACTTAAGACGGAAGTTAACCAGAGTATGAAATCACCATTATCAATATGTAAAATCCAAACAGTGACTATATATTTATTCAAATAGTGTCATGAATGGAATTAAAAAAAGGACTTGAAAAATTAACATGTTTTAATATTGTTTTGTGTGTGTGAATAAAATTTGTCAGCAAGAACAAACTTCTTTTATTACAAGACATCCAGAATACATGTCTTCATACATGTCATAGCAGGTACCAGTATTTCTGTGGTTTGGTGTTCCCGGATAGTTTAGTTTGTAACAATGTTCCCTTTTTTGGTCTTTCATGCTTGGTTCATAAGGAAGGTAAAAAAATATTTCATGTGGGCATAAAAATAAGGAGATGTGGTACGATTGCTATTAAGACAACTATCAGGAGATCAAAGGACAAGGATGTAAACGAAGACAGGTCAGTGTTCACTAAGATAGGTTTTCTAGGTCCAATGTAGGTACTTTTTGAAAGTGGATAACCAATGGATTTATTGGGTCAATGGGATGAAGGTGGGGTGATGTGGGAATGAATATTTTAGCTTGGTGAGAATTAGTAGAAGAAATAATGTTGCCCGTTCAAGATGAAAATGAATAAGCTGCTGCATTTCTGTCTCACATTAAGCATGAAAAATTATGTAAAAAAGTGAAAACGAAGCTATGTGACATAAACAATCTGAGCAACAGATAAAAATGAAATAATATTGACTATTTGTGAATAATCTGTCCAAGAGAAATCCTCCTGCCTTACCCCCTAAAAATGTCCACTTATATACAAATGTATGCTCTTAATGCTAATAAAAAATGTCAAATCTTTACCAATATAAAAATAAGGAGATGTATGAATGCCAATGAGACAACTATCCATCAAATTCAAATGAAGTGGATGTAAGCAATTATAGGCAACTGTACAGCCTTCAACAATGAGAAAAACCCATATTGTATAGTTGGCTCTAAAAGGCCACAACGTGAAAAATGTGAAACAAATTATGAGTAGGGTGTATGACACAATAAGCAGATAACCCATCAAAGTTAATCGTAAAATGCTATTAGTTGCTTGTGTTACTAATGTTTTTCACAAGGGAAATTTACTTGTACTTGCCATGGGTACAACCATTGATTTTAGGGTATGAATGATACGTTCATTGTTGAAGACCCTACATCAACTGTCAAGATGAAGAACAGGAATAAAAGCCATGTTCATTGATAATTTTCTATGTTTTCTATGTATTGTGTGCGATTTAGTCCCATGTACATTTACTCCATATCTTTTCAGTTTCTATTTTACTGTTGTTTATAATCATGAACTTATTTTTAACTTCCTGCCAGTCCTTCAATGAACTCAAACCTCTATAGATCCAGTTACAACTCATGCATTTGCAGTTTGAACAGACGAGAATTCTTTAATTAAAATCAATGAATTCATTTAATTTCTCATTTGTTGCGGACCTTACATTTGAACATGTATACTGGTTCTGTTAAATTTATTCATAACTTAACTATGATAAAAAAAATCAACATACAGATATTGTATGGAGACTGACTATTCTTGAAGACTGTATGATTTCCTCTAACTGTCAACATGGTCAATGCTCTTGTGGTAGTTGGGTCAGTTTCATATACTAGAAGAAAGGACAAAGACAAGCTGCGAAAATAAATAATTGTTTTGACCTTCTCTTTGGGGTTATCTTAAACAGCTATTACTAGTATCATAAAGATGTGTTGGGCTACTCAAATTACGATCACAAGAAAAACAACAACATAATTACGATAATTTTCGGCAACTGCCAAATGTAAACGACTATCAAAGTTTATTTTCCAGCTTGAGAGAGGTCCTCAATATGACATACTCAGAAGGAATCGTGATATCTTTGCGAATTAAAACAAAATATGATCAAAGATGCTAAAACAAACTAAACCTAACAACAAACAAGTCAGAAATGATTATCTTGCAATACACGCTGTTCAACCGGATATTTACTAACAGGCGCGTATAAATTTATAGTGGCGAGTACGCAACATCTCACGATACGCGAGAAGTGTCGATATACCGCGAGATTCCGATCCTTCTCACTATACAAATCCTTGGTTTTGTTAAAATATACTTTTTCACTTTTTGGTCTTTTGGAAAATGTTGTTTGTGCTGTATTTAGACCCCTCTACCAAGAAATTTGTTTTGCATGCACACGTTTAAAAATTGCGGTTTTTATGCAACGCAATCATAGGTATGAACGTTGTTTTCAATTTAGACTCGTCTAACTTAATCTATATATATATATATATATAAAGTCGGAAGATACCAAACGGATATTCAAACTCAAAAGTCGAACTCGCCATGACATTATTGTATAATATAGTTCTTACTATACAAATACTTGATTGGGTTGAGCACTCACAGTTAACATATTTCAATTTTGGCAACATTAAATCGAATTTAGAAGTAAGACAGCGATGACTTTGTATACATATAGAATGGTAGCGCGATTAACTAATACATGTATGCAACCCGGAACAGCAATAACAAAAGCTGAGGATCGGATGTCAGGGTACATGATTTACTTTATGTCTGTCTCAATTCAAGAACCTGCAATATCCTGTGATAACGCCCTATAGATAATTATAGCTCAACGATTACATAATAATGTATGCTTGCAAGGGGCATATTTGTTGGTACATTAGATTTCTGTGATCTGAAATCGATCGAAAACCAACAAGCTATTCCGAAAAAAAGCATTCAATGCATTCCAAACAGTAAAAGCCTATCCAATCATCAATGCTTTTAATTTTACAAAAGTTAATTTATGAATGGGATTCCGCGTACTTGAAATAATACTAAAATAGGACGCTTTTTGAAAACAAAAAAGTGAAAAATGTTACATTTTAGCCAAAGATGGGTAGGATAGGGGTTCCGTATTACAATATTTCTTTGCCAACTCTTGTGAAAAAATGTTCCGACCCATTTGTCTCATCACAAACAATATTTTTATATAGTTTAGTAATTAAAAATATCAAAAGTATAATAAATATTCATAATCTTTACCCCTAAAGACTATATTAGTAATTATGAATGTTTATACAATCTTAAAGTTGATAAAACATACCAATATCACATATGCTTTAAACAGAATCGTGCAAAAATAAAACCCAGTTTAAATAAGTTCTCCACTTCACAACTTGTGTACTAGAATTAGTAGTGAATATCACAATAAAAATTTCAAGTTATAAGTATTGAACAATTAAGGAGTATTGACCGGGTGGTAAATACAGGTAAAACTACTGGTTAATACGAGGGGAGGTTTTTACCGCCTAAAATTGGTTATTTGGAAATTCAAATCACAACTCCAATAAGCTTCTAAAGTTATTTTTATTTGACCATGAAGACACCAAGGAGGAAATGAAATATAATAAACTGCATAAAAACCTATTTTGCATAACAAGACAGGGAAAAAACTAACTTTTATTACCAGATATAAATCCGGACGACTTGACACGCTTATGTTATTTGTTAAATGTTATAATATTACTTCAAGCTTAAAAGCTAAAAGTGAGACAGAAGATTTAATAATACAAGTTTTGATAACAGAATAGGCACAAAATGTTCATCATCAAGGGAAGACGTATAGCTGATTTTCTAAATAACACAGTTGTAATCTTCATGTCAAATGTTTGTCTAGAACATTTCCATTCCTTGGTCCAAATTTTCCATCTCATTCATTCTGAAAAAAGTAAATGTTTTCTGAGATGTGTTCTTCTTATCACAAATTAAACTAGATCATTTCAAATTCCAGTTTTACTTCTGATTTTTTTCGTGCAATTGACCAGTCAGCGATTAAAAGGAAAGTGTTTTTGAACGCAATTATGTAAGAGACACAATGAAAGACACCATATCCACTTCCCCATTCATTAACCGAAATGGAAAGAAAATTTCCGTCCTTCCAATAGCCGTCCCTTCCGATTCTTGCAGGAGTACTAGTGTTTCAGGCAGTCGTCTTGTTCCTACGATTTTGAATTATACGACTGAGTATATAATGGCATATTGTATTCTACCAATCATATTTTCAAGATGGAATTCTTTATTTTCAAATTTTAAAATGGTCTATATCAAAAATGGGTATACATCTTTTATACAACATATCAGCTGCGTCGGATAGAAATCGACCTTATGCAAGTGCACGTATACATGTACATATATAAGACTTTGATTGATTTTGTAACATTCAAATACGAAATAAAAGATACATTTTGGTCTGTTTTGTAGGGTTCTTATAACAACTCAATTTTAACACAGTTAGAGATTCTACGTAGAAAATTTTCAACCCGAAATAGGTTAACAGATGTAATGATATCAATTTGCATAAGGTCGATTTCTATCCGACACAGCTCATATGTTGGTATGTAGACAAATATTTGTTTTATTTATAAAAGTTGATTTGGTTTAATGAAATCTTTAATTAAATACTTACATTGGAGTGTTATCCTTTTCGTTTACATTTTTAGCACTTCCGGAAAGTGCAAATGGGGACTCAACTCTGCTACAATGAAGGCAGTAGCAAATTTTCCCTGGATGAAGTTTGTAGCATCCATATAATGAGCAGCCAGCAGTCCCACAGAACTTACTACAGTAGAACGATGTGCAAGGTATTGATTGGGTTTCCTTAACTTCAATTGAAATAAGAAAAATATAATTCAAAAATAAGTATGTTAAAGTTTGTGAACTAATAACGATGCCTCTGTAAACGTTTGTTTAATAATTGAATGCTTCATTTCATAATTTTATTTGGGTGTAAAAGCGTTGACCGAATCACGTTTTGAATGAAGCGCAGAAGCGCTTCAAATTTAAAATGTGCGCAAGATCAAAGATGTTTCAACACTAAGAAAAATATTAAAAGAAGCATTCAATTTTTATAATTACATTGTGATGCTACAACCATGAAATAAAGAGTATATCAAGCTTTTCGTTTTTTTCAATGCATTATCTTAACATTGTCACGGATAGCACATGCAGTCATAGCTGTTGTATTTTAAACGGAAATAAAATATGATTTTGTAGTGCCTCGCTATTGTTGTCAGTCAATCAAAAATACGGATTCTAATGAAACATACATGTAATTTAATTATTTACATATAATTCTAAATAACTAAAAAATATATCGTTTGTAATCATTTATCATTATAACAAAGAAATTTTTGAATATATATTTTTAACGCAAACATACACACATATAAATTTCGATAAAGATATTTACCTCCGACAATAACTGCCACTACAACTGCTAACAAGATTGTTGCTTTCATGTTAAAAGTTTTCAGTTTTGAGGAATCCTAAATTATCGACCTAAATAAAAAAAAAAGACAACATGAAATGGTGATAGATGGTAATCTTAACGAACAACATTGTCAGTAAAGATAATAAGAGGGTATTTCATTTCAAAATTCAAAACAATCTGAATATTTTAAAATAGAATGAAATAATTATGGGTATCAAAAATTATATGAAGCGAATTGCATGGAAATAAAACCGTATTAGTACTCCTTGTTCAAATTGTTAGTATTGTGTGTTATATAGATATACAAGCATGTCTTTGTGAATATTTTTTTGCAAGTTATCTTCCTTTTTGTTCTTCTATCGGTGTTAATCTGTTTCTGGGTTTTGATAATTAGATTTTCCTTCAGTTCTCGTCACGTTATTGAACCAAATTTAAATGAAACTAATAATACAAGATGGGCAACTATGCTTAATGTAAAAACAGTTTTGCCTTTTCATTTAAAGCCAATACAAATGTGTTTGAAGAGTGATATAATTTGTAAATTTACCTACCTTTCGTACAATCTTGTAGAAGTTAAAGAAATGTGTAATAGTATAATATATATATATATATGTTCTGAACAGGAAAGCGGACATTGTACGTGGTTGTTTCTGCATTAAATTTAAAAGCGTAGTTTTAAGTTTATGTCAATCTGTCAATAATATTGTCATATCTATCTGCGTAATAACCGACTATCCTTTTTTTGTTATTTGAAGGCCAATATAGATCATCTTCATCAAATCATTACTTTTTGGTCGTTTGCGTTATATATCAACCTTTTGTGAAAACAACAAATTACAATTTCAGTAAAACTTAAACTACCTGACAACATATCAAAATTATGAAAACATTTTCTTGCATGCAACCATTTGACGAATAAAATGCCTTCAAGTGAAATTTAAAAAAAAGATTTAAAATTCAGAACTGCCGTAAAAAAACTCATCAAAAATACCATGCTCATAATTGTGTACGCCAGGCGCGTTTTGTCTACAAAAGACGCATTAATGACGCTCGAATCAAAAAAGATTAAAGGCCAATTAAAGTACGAAGCTGAAGAGCCGATTTCATTTTAAGAAATGTTTTTAGGAAAAGGGCCAAAATGGGCTATAACATTGTTTTCTTTTCTAGTATTCGTGTACATTATGGTAATTGTGGTAAAATTGATGATTTTTTAAAGATCAATCTGTTTCTGAAGTATGTCACCATATTAGATGTAGCATTTACAGTCTTAAAATTTCATCTTCTTTATTCATTTTATTCTAAATCCTATTTTAATGGGTTTTTTTTTAATAAAATATATGTCTGCGTAATACAAATATACAATACAACCTATGCCTTTATGATTTTAAGATACCATTGACCATACAGCAAAGGTGCATTATATGTGAAATGCAGTAAGTTTATCTAATAAAACTTTAAACTCATTTACATAACTCATATAGCTTCATAGTTTCAGTGTCGAAAGTGACAGATAATTGCATTTTTTTGTGTAAATACTCGTCTGTGTCAAGCAATTTACAATTTCATTCATATTACTTATTTTGGTAAAGGAAAACTATATAAGACAAGAACAGGTTCACAGGGATTACCAAAATTTTTGGACAATAGAGCAACTCCCATAAACCCCAAACACTCAACAGATCCGAAAAAAGAAACGTTCAAACAAAGACAGACAACAAACGAACAACAAATGGTTCAAATATCCTGACTTGATACAAGAACATAACACTTTCTTTAAAGTTGCACAATTAAACACTTTTTTCAACTTGCGGCGGAGTTATCAAGATTCGCTCGGTTAAGCCCTTTCATCATTGCTGCTATGAATAGAACATATCAGGCCGTTAGTTCTCTCGTTTGAATAGTTTTACATTTGTCATTTCGGGACCTTTTATAGCTGACTATGCGGTATGGGCTTTGTTCATTGTTGAAGTCCGTAATGTGACCTATAGTTGTTAATTTCTGTTTCATTTGGTCTCTTGTGGAGAGTTGTCTCATTGGCAATCATATCAAATCTTCTTATTTTTTTCTATAATATTTTAAACAAGGTTTAATTTATATCATTTATAATAATTAAGCATGTAATTTATACGGTATGGTTTTTACTTATTGTTGAAGGCCGTACGGTTGCCTATAATTGCTTACATCTACTTCATTTGAACTTTGGGGGATAGTTGTCTCATTGGCAATCATACCTCATCTCCTTATTCTTATACGGATACCGTTTGTGTGATCTTCTTTTAGAATTGTTGGCATGAATAGAAAAAGGTGTGTGTTAAATGTTTATGAGTCGGCAATTGAATAAGAAAAGCAAATGAAAAATTGACACCTAGAATGCGAAAATGATATTCAATAACGAACAAGCGCAAATATTATGTCAAGCTCGTAATTGTATGACTTTTAGATGTCTTTTGGGTGTTTGTGTTGTTAGGTTTCTATGTCATTGAAGCATCCCCCAACATCACCACTTTGTTTATAAATTTGAAATTACTTATAAGAGACAACCAAATAGATCGATTTTGGAAGATTCTATAATGTGCAGAAAAAAGTTAGGAACAACAACAATAATAATTGACGAGGTTCCTAGCGTGAATCAGTTAGCAAATATTTTGTGCATATTTATTGATATATTTTAGGGTATTTTTAGTTCATCCCTTTGTGATGTATTTTGACAAACTTTGTTGTGAAGACACTTAAAAAAATGTCAAAATAATTGACTGCAAATTTATTAAGGAGTTATGAAAGTATGGAATATGAAAAAATCCAAAGGTCAGCCAAGCACAATGGACAAATGTCTATGCTTTGCATTAGTTGCCCTTCCGGAGCACCTGAGATCACCCCCAGTTTTTGGTGGAATTCGTGTTGGTCATTCTTAAGTTTTCTATGTTGTGATTTGTGTATAGTTGTTTGTATTTTGATCCTTTTTAGTTTTTTTTCTTTTTGTTTTTGCCATAGCGTTGTCAGATCGTATTCGCTCATGAGTTTGAATGTCCCTTCTGGTATCTTTCGCTTCTATTTTTTATCCTTGTATCTAGTGCTAGTTGACTGGTGCGGGTTTATATTGTTTTCACAAATAGTCATCAAAATCCAACCCAAGTTGTCTTTTTGTTACAACAAAAGATGTTATGTTCACTTAAAAATGAAATCTCTACGTATACTGTAATTAAAATGAGCTTAGGAAGTGACTATTTTGGAAAAGAACTAAGAACCGAATACTTGTTCGGACAGATAAATTTGTCATATTGTTCTCAAACATAACAAAATCATCTGATAAAATAAGCGTAACAGTAACACTTTAATGATAGAGGAGACGATTTCAATTTTTAAATTATGAATTTTCCCCACCTTAGCAGTGCCACTCTCGAATGGAGTATACATATCTATCCTCATACGATATTAATGAGGTTATAGCTGCTATTCAGACTTTGTAAAACGGCAATGGTGTCTGAGCAGAAAACGAGCCAGGGATTTGTCAAAGAACGTCTTGTCTTATTTTCCAAAAAAAAAATATAAATCGGGAAGTACCAAAACTTAATAGATAAATATTCAGTGTCTACTTTACAAATAATACAAGATGGTCTTGAGTTAAAGATTCTAGTTGCTGAAGTTGTCTATTTCTTTTGTTTACAGTTTTCCCTTTGTTTGTCCTTGTGCTACTATGTTCCTTTTGGTCGTTTGACCTTTGACGTGACTCTGTATTTATAGATATGCATCCAGCTATCGGGTTTTGGCTTTGAGCGTTCCTGATGCAAGAGGTGTGAGTCGCTTTAGAAATTATTTCAAGAAAATCTCTGAAGATGGTCGAAATATCGGTCCCTTCCTTACAAATTCACCAGTTCCATGTGCTGGACAATACTGAGGTCTCCTGTAATAATATGACCACAGGGATTATATCTAGACTGAGGATGTTCACAGTCCGAGAGCTTAGATGTGCTGTTTCTATTATCAACGTCGATAAAAATAGACGTATAGTTAAACTTATATTTTGGATTTCTTTTGTAATTAGAAAATAGAAGAAATGATTTAGTAAAAATATTGATGAACAAGCTTTTGCACATTATAATCAATCAATCAATATACTTGATAACTTGATAAAACAAGTGAACTATTAATACGTATTTTAGTTTGATAACATGATGTGTATTGAGAGAAAAGATTATGGTTAAACAAGAAACTGACATTTTTTGTTCGTTCATAAAAGAGAAGAGAATAATACATTTGTTTAATCCGGTGATATCAAATTCAACTTTGTACAATTAATGGAATTGAATTTCAATTATGGCTTCCGTTGTTTTAAAAATATTTTTACATTGACAGAAGAATGGTAATATTCATCGGAATAAGAGAAAACTCAAATTTCTTGTTTAAAAAAATATTCTTGATGATATGTACACTTACCTGTTTTGTCAATTTTTAATCTTATACCAGCTATTTGGTCATCAACCCTAGATTTAACTTCTTTATTCATAAAATACTTAATAAAAAGATAATCGTGTAACAATGTATAACTGATTCATAACAGTTATAAAATCAACTGCAATTACCCTTCCGGAGTACCTGAGATCACCCCCAGTTTTTGGTGGCGTTCGTGTTGCTCAGTCTTTATTTTTCTATGTTGTGTTTTGTGTACTATTGATTGTTTGTTGGGCTTTTTCTTTTTTTAGCAATGGTGTTGTCAGTTTATTTTCGACTTATGAGTTTGAATGTCCCTTTGGTATATTTCGCCTCTCTTTTAAAGGTTTCATGGGAATTCCAATAATTCGTTGGTATAAAATCTTATCATGACGATTAAAATAATTGTCAAACAAGGAACAACGACTTGATTGTATCACTTTTATAATTAAAGATAGACTGGTTATTATTACAACAAATGAATTCATGAACTGATTTATCATAAACCAAGATATCATTTGTTTGGTCTTTTTTCAGGAACTTTTATTTATACATTTTGATATACACAGTGACATCGTCGTGGTTTCATCAAAGTTATATCGCCAAGACTTTATTTTAGTAATTGTTTAATAGTTTGGACCGTGAATTGTCCCATTTTAAATTCTGAGTTGTGGTATGTTGACATCACATATAAATAATCAATTTTACTTCTAAGACATTGGATTCGTCAGTTGTTACATTTGCTTGTATCTTCCTTATCGTTTACGAGATTTGAACATCGGTAAACTATTGTCACCTTAATTTACAATACCGATAGAAGGCGCATTTTTAAAAACAAAGTTGAAAAAAAAAAACAATTGTTTATCGATTTCCAATTTCATAATTCCATTAAGAAGATACAAATAAAGATAAAAAAAAAACAAACTTATGTTATTGTATGAACCTGTTATGTATGCATCATTCACAAAAGCGAATCCACACTCATTCAAAATATTATATTTAGAATAGAACATTATCGGTAAAATAGCAGATCAAACAACGTGAAAACAAATCGCTTGTGAGTTGAGACGTTGATGTATTGTATCGGTTTACCATTTATGATGGTGAACGTAAAACGTATGTAGTGTGGATTTCAGTGTGTTCTTACTCAAATCTCTGTGGGAGTATATTTTGTGTAGTTAGCGCTGTTACATGTAAAGAAATCCGTATA